AACGTTTTATGCGACGTGCAGCAAGTGTATGTTAGCTCATGTCCCGCCGGTTCATATGTATGCATCTAACCTCCGAACCACGCAGCAGATTCGTTTGAATGAATCTCTTACCAAATCGTCCCTCCCTAACATTTGTCTCGTTTTTATTAGTTGACGAAAATGTCAGTAGATTTACGTCATAGTTTTTGTCATTCAAAAAGAGTTTTAGTTCATTATCGTCTCGTTGACATCTGTGAAAAAAATGTCGTTGACGAAAAGTATGACGAAAATTATTTGTCAACGAAATTAACACTGCCTTGCCCTCATCCCATAACCAGACACTGACAGTAATTGACACGTACATTGTGTCTCTTGGCTCGGTTTGTGTGATCCAATGCAGTGACATGCACATCAGCATCATCTTTCAAGTGGTTTGAGACCAAATAGAGCCAGAGAGAGAGAGAAGTAGTTTTATTTAAGCCTGACGACGTCTCATGCTTCAGTGTGAAAGAGGAATGTAGGACAGATCTGTTCTAACGCTGACCCGTGACTCATCCCATTACATTTTCCAACAGCTCTATTAGCTCATCCAGGTCTCTAAAGCCCAGGAACTTAACGAGGATGGCAGGGCTATTACATTACCATTACTTCATTCAGGTCAGTCTGCCTGAGGAACAGCAACATGGCACACGCTCAGGTATCTGAGACTCAGGTTAGCAAAGTGACAATTACTCCAGCACTAATTAAGCCATCTCCACTTCAGGCTGTGTCTGACCCTCACTAATTATGCATATATGTGGTGGCAGTGGTTTAATGCTTAGGGACTTTGTTAACACAAAGCAAACAGGTTTAATGGCAACAAAAATTGATCCAGGAGCTCTAGAGTTACAGAGATCTCAATCTTGCCCTATCAATAGTGACTTTGAGGAAACCACTAAACCCAAAACAGCAAGTAAAAATCTGAACTACTGGCCTGATCAGGCCAGCAAAAACAATTATTGTGTTTCCTTCTTGTCTCAGTCCAACTAGGGCCTTAATATGCATCCCTAAAACATTAGTGTGTATTAGTTTCTTCTAGGGGTGGGCGCTATACCGGTATGAAAGTGACTACCGGTTAGTGTTGTCACGGTACCAAAATTTCAGTATTCGGTACCAATACCAGTGAAAATCCACGGTTCTCGGTACCAATTTCGGTACCAAAGCAAAACACAAAAACATGCTAATTGAACAACATTTTTATTAATAACGTTAAACAAAAATTAAATGTACAAAACCAATGCCATTCTTTATACTTATTTAAAATTGTTTCAAGTTTTTTCACAAGTAATAAAAGTATGAAAAAAGTAAACAAGTTTCACCCAAAAGTTTAGTCATAGTTCTGCTGCCACTGAAAAACATCTGTAAACTGTTGTCTGTTTTAGGGTTTGCTGGTGTGTTTCAGGATCTTCCTCAGTCTGCAGCTATAAAAGGAAAATATAATATACTTATGTAAAGCAATGGGCTGAGTCTGACCAAATGCAACATTAGATCATTGACACCAGCTAAAATATAACTTTTCAGTAAATAACAAACCTCAGCTTTTATAATAAATTTAGATAAGATTACATATATTAAGTGTATATCAAATAGATGAAACTGTAGTATTAAAAACACTTTACAATAAGATTTTATTTGTTAGATAACATGACCTAACAATAAACAATAGTTATATGGCAATTATTCTTCTTAGGGTTAATTTCAAAGTTCAATCTGTTAAAATTATTTAATGCACAATGAACAAACATGAATGATCAAGTGTTTGTATTAAATAACATTCACAAACATTAATGAATGTTTTAAAAATATATTGTTCACTCACTGTAAGATGTTACTAGATCTAACTCACGTTAGAAAACATTAAGTCATTGTACAGTAAAGTCTATACAGGAGATAAAATTTGACTGTACTTTTATTTAATCCAAACTGTGTTCATATTTAATTTTAAAGGGCTTTTAAAACCTGCTAGAGATATTCAGCCAAGAATTACAACTAACTAAAAAAAAAAATTTCTGACGGACTGATATGCCATAAACACTGTTAACCATACATTTGTACATTCTCTAACACGCATATTTTGGTTACACAGTTCATTTAAAAGCCTCTGGTGTGTAAAAATAGTAAATACCATTATGTCCTCCTGTTTTTTACAGTAATAAAAGTTGTAGGAGCATTAAATAGTTAACAAAGAAATCATTTTGAACAAAATTCATTCTAATGCTCATTATATTAGCGTTAGCCGCGCTTATGCTAACGATTAACTACGTATACGCTAACGGCGATGTTTATTTCAATCCGAAATTCAAATTAAAATATGGAATAATATTCATTACAGAAGCTCTAAATATTAAAAATGTAATTGAAACTTACCTGCTTGAACTTGATCGGGGTGTTTTGTTAGTTTGATGCGTTTCCTCCTCTTGAGGTCGCCACTGCTTTTAAGAAGAGGTTGCCAGGTTTTCACAACAAAACCCGACCAATCGCGTTTCGAGGGGGTCCCCCGTTAAAAATCGCGTTCCGAGGATAAAATACGCATGTTTTGGCGGGGTTCCCCTGGTAAAATTCGCATTCCAGGGGCTAAATATCACGTTAATGGGGTCGTTTTTCAACCCGCGGACATGAAAAACAACCCGCGGCAACAGTGTTAAAGCAGCCCAATTCCGCGGGAAAACCGCGGACTTGGCAACACTGGAGAGGATAGCTTTCGGATAGCGCATCAAGAACCGGGTCGACCGGGTACTCGGTACCACCGGTACTTAAGAAAACCTGGTACCGTAACATTTTCATTTTTTTAGTACCGACTTGGTACCGAAATACCGGGTCTTTTGACAACACTACAGCACACAGTGAAAATGACATTAATATGACATTGGACAAAAGCATGAAGCGCAGCATAATTTGAAATCATGAGTTTAAAGTTAGTCGATCGCGTGAAGCTGAACTCTTCTGTCCACATTCAATTCGCACGGACCGACCGTCATGCAGAGTACACGCGATCATACAGGATACAAATGCACACTTCACAAGATCTCACAGCTGGATTCGACTATGTTTGCAAGATTTTTTAAATTAAATGTTCATTAGTCATTCAAAGATTTGTTTAAATGATATAAATGCGTATTTGCTGAATGCTGACGGAAAACGAGATGGTGTTATAATGTTTGCCTTTCTATTACTAATCATATAAAAGCAATCGTTATAATACTTTTTGTATACATTTTAATTCCTTTGTTTAACAGTTCTTTCTGATTATTAGACAACTGTTGTGAACAAGACAGTGAACAAGGAGAATGTGAACACTGTGTGCGCAGGCGCTGCTGTTCTCAGCGCCGCCAAAATTAAAGGTCCCGCCTCGAACGCATCGGCCAAACAGAAAAACGTATCGGCCGATATTTGAAAAATGCCAAATATCGGCCGATATATCGGCCTTGGCGATATATCGGTCGACCACTAATAGTGATGTCAGTCAGCCATCGGCGATGGACGATGGCATCGTCTATCGGCCCGACCCGATTACTTATGCTTTTGTTGCTACTCCTTATTTTGGTCTGAAAGATATCTTGACACAGTTTTCCCAATTAAATGAGGCATTTAGTTAAATTCAACTTTTACTTTGGGCCTTTTAAGAGAACTGTACTTTCCTAGTCTGCAGTCAGCCTCAGGACAGACTGCAGCGCACACCACAAACCCCACAAACTGCTCTCTCTATAGTGCTGAAGGGACAGTGTGTGCCACAGTAAAGTTTGAGCTGCTACCGGATACTCTCTCTCAGCCTCAGTCTGAGGTAGAGAGCAATATAAGGCTCATATACTTTGAATCAAGTCTTGTGGTTTGATTTATAATCTGACTTTGATAGCTGTTAGTCTTCAGAGATCATTTGATAGGCTGCCCAGTCAAAGTGAGGTAATGAGAGAAAACAATATATGCAATTCCTGAACACTAAAAGAACTTTAAACGTTAAACGTCATAAAACGTGTAAAAGTTCGAGAAGTGTTTTGTAAAAATATCAGAATATTGATGTTGCACAAAACCAAAAGCAACAATGGAGGCTGCTTTTAACCTTCCTCAATATAAAGCGTGCATATCACTTAATGCAATTATTTCAGTGCAATAACCAATAATCAAGGATAATGTCCAAGGAAAGTGTCTGTGTTGAGACTTCTGGGAAACTCAAACGAGGCTTCTTGGTCTTCTCTTTTGTAGGAGTAGTTACATTTATTACATTCATTTATTTATGTTGTGTATTTTTTCTTAAACTCATTCCCATTCTTTGCTTCCTCTCTTCAGTCCGTGGGCAGGAGAATGGGTTGGATGGGGCCAAGGCAAGTGGAGTTGCAGGCAGAGGAATGGAGCGAGGCCGTCGGGGAAGAGGCAGAGGAAGAGGTAAGTACTAGGGGTGTAATGGTTCAAATTACTCATGGTTCAATTTGTATCACCGTTTTAGAGTCACTGTTTCGATACGGTTCGGCATGTGCTATGTTTAGGGAAAAAATGACTATACTGTCAAATAAAAATAAAGAAAATAAGAACAAATAATCTAACTTCTGAGTGAGTGATTTCCTGTTTTTTTCCTTGGCTTTTGTTGTTTGATTAACATTAAAAACGTAAGACTATGCATGGATCCAGTACACTGACACTGTACGTACAACCGACTATGTCTGCTAGGATACTGACCAAGACGGGCATGCTATTATTTTTGTGTGAATTTGTCCAATCAAACACAAGACTCAATATTTGTGCGCTCTCTGAGCACACACAAATCTCCTCACTGCCCGTGCGATTTCTCATTCGCGTCTTCTGGCTCTTGAATGTTTAAACTGGCACGGCTTAAGAAAATAAGAACAAATAATCTAACTTCTGAGTGAGTGATTTCCTGTTTTTTTTTCCTTGGCTTTTGTTGTTTGATTAACATTAAAAACGTAAGACTATGCATGGATCCAGTACACTGACACTGTACGTACAACCGACTATGTCTGCTAGGATACTGACCAAGACGGGCATGCTATTATTTTTGTGTGAATTTGTCCAATCAAACACAAGACTCAATATTTGTGCGCTCTCTGAGCACACACAAATCTCCTCACTGCCCGTGCGATTTCTCATTCGCGTCTTCTGGCTCTTGAATGTTTAAACTGGCACGGCTTGATGAGTTTAGTTTAAACAGATAGCAGCGTGTGCTGTTCAGGTCTCATCTGTGCACGTGCGCTATCAACACCCGGGTTATGACGGCATAAATGACGTCATATTCCAGCATACGGCACTCGCATTGAACAAAGTTTACAAAGAGTGACTGGTTTGTACAAGGTTTTTTTTTTGTTCATCGCTGTTGTTGAAATGTGTTGGAAAACCAGAATGTGTATCCATCGACAGAAACATACAATAGGCGAACTCTGTCTGTTTTACGTGTTGTTATTTTTAACAAACCATATTACAGATGCCTTGTCAGATTTAAGTTGAACCGTGGTGCAAATGCGTGCCAAACCATGGGTGGAGAAGAGTACAGTTCGATTGTGGTGTTTTTTTTTCATTTTAAACAGAGCTGTTACACCCCTAGTAAGTACCACTGTTGGCAATGGTTAACTAGAATGAAAATGGTTAGTGGTTTTGGTTTGACTTCATCTTTCTTTCCTGCAGGTGGAGCTGGAAGGCGAGGTGGGAGGTTTTCAGCTCAGGGCATGGGGTAAGTTTGTGTTCTTCCATTAAGATCCTTACTGTTTTTGCATGTTCTCCAGAGATCTCCCAGATTGGCAGATTCTAGGAAATGCTAATGGTGTCCAGCTAGCAAAAATTCTAAATCCTCTGCTTCAAAAACGGTTGAAGATATGACGCAAATTTGAGGAAGCTGTTCTGTTGAGTCCAGCCTGCTGGGTTTAAGACCTGCTGGTGTGCTTATCTTGAGACTCTATGCGCATTTATATCCTGTAAACCGTAAAGAATTGAACATGTTTTCCATGCAGTGGTTTAACCAGGTAAGTAAGAGTTATTGGGGGTTTATTTGCTGCTTTTTGGTGCTATGCCTTTTTAGGCTTCAGGGCTCAATGCCAAGGATTTTTTCTACTGGCCCGGTTGGACCAGTGGTTCAAATTTTTACTTGCCCTGACAATTTTCACTGGCCCTGCCAAAAAAAAAAAAATAGTTGCGGTTATTATCATTTTGACCCACATTATATTTTATTCCAATAAATAAGAACAAATTAATAAATTACATGCAATAGCACAACTGAATATATAGAACAAAGATACAAATGAAAGATGCTTTAGGAAAAACCGCAGATGGCAAATTCACTCTCTGACAGCAGGTGGCGCTTATGGAACAGCAGTAATACTGCGTTTCCATGGTTACAGCTGTAAACAAAGCAGTGCAGCTGTAATTAACACTACTTTAAATGCACTATACAGAGGCTAAATGAAAACGCAATGTGAACTTTTCTGAAGACAGTCAGTTCCCCACAGAGACCCCCAATTCAATATTTAGGATTTTCTTCCAATGTTTCGCGCATCGTGAACTGTGATCTTGCTCTGCCTGCTACCGTATTTTCTCCTCTTTGCGTCCGTCTTGCCTCTCTTGAGATCTGTTGAAATAAAACGAAAAACGGTCAGTCCACCGGTCCATCTGTCCTACACTGTATAAAGTAAATATAGATTAATCATTGTTAAAGCTACAAAGTTACTCGCCAAGACTGGTATTTTGACACACTTATGTATTTGTCCATTCAAGACGTGTCTCTGTGCGCTGTACACACAGAACGCAGCGCACGAATACTGAATTGAGTTGTCTTTCGCGTCTTGCTTAAATGTTTTAAAATCACTAGAATTTTTTAATTAGCAAGGCTTAAAAACAAGTGCAAATGATAAATGTTAATGACGACGCAGCCGTGGCCCAATTGGGCTAGTGACAAATTCGTCAACTGTCCCGAGCATCTTTCACGCTGGGCACCGGCCATCGGGCAGTCCTTAATGTCGAGCCCTGGGCTTGTTGATGACAGAGTTCACTAAATTGATGGCAAATAGGGGTGGGCAGTAGAAATACAGGTAGATAGGTAAACCTCTAGAAATCGGAGTAATTTCTATTGCCGTTATCAAAATGCCATGTCATAGTGCAGGGAATGTCTGTTGCCCTCCACTTCATATTTGGAAAGAAAAAGAACAAGCTTGTTAAAGCAGTATGATATGGAAGTGAAGCTCTTAAGCTTTATATCTGCACCTTCACTTCCATTGTCAACATGAAGTGAGAAGCGTTTATATTCAGTGAATTACCTCAGGTATGGAGAAGTGCATTGCAATTCAAGAGATTGGATTTAATTTTATTTATATTTTGTTCATTTACTTTTTTATTTTAATTTTAAGATTTAATACTTTTAAAATGAAGGTGTAGATTTTATGCATAGATTTGTTGCTTGCCCCTAACAGTAACCAAGATGCATTTTAATATTTTTGAAGTGGCATTACAAGCATAAAAATGTTTGTTTCATACTTTTGTTTAGAAATATTAGAGGAGTTTCAATGTCATTGTAAGCGTATAGCTTAGCTTTTTACTGCAATATTCAGTAGTCTAGAATAGGGCTGGGCGATATGACGTTATTATTGTATATCGACGATGTCTCGTAAGTATCGCGATGTTGATGTCAACAGTTAGGTAACAGACGATTATCGACATTATCAGAAAAAAATGACACATTATGAACCTAGTAAGTTGTAAAAAATATTTTACATAGCCCCATAGTCACCATACAGGTCTTTTTGCATGCAAGAATGAAATAATTTAGTAGGAGGGTTGGGAATCGAAAAGCTATTCCAATTTTGGAAATCAGATCGGATGCGTAAGGTCAGGAATTGAATTACTTGTTATAAAATTAAATTTCGATTCTGCTTCTTGATTCCTGTATGCGCATTTATTGCGATTTCAAAAGAATCAACTGCAAGAAGACGAAATAGAACTCATTTCTGCACTCGCGTGCTGTTTTCTGTGCAGCGCACACACATAAAGCGCATGCGCAAAAGCCGCCTCTTATATAGGCTACCTGAACACTGGACTGAGCTCTCTTTCTCGCATTCTTACACATTCGAATGGACAAATACACACAGAATTATATCAAAATATCCCATAAATACAATCGGTTTTGTCTTAAGTGAACGTAAGGAGTTGAGAAAGAAAGAAAAGGGTGTATTGGATCCGTGCATTGACAGCAGCCGCTGCCGCCAGTCATTGATGTTAATCAAAGAACAAAAGAAAAGAAAATCCCTCACTGACCTTGACTGAATCACTTTTGTAACCTCAGTTTATATTTGATTTGCCTGCATGTTGTTCGGCACTACTGTAATGGCAACGTGCATCTGTGCGATTCATTTGGAGATGCGTTCCAATATAATTTATCCTTATTTAAGGTATAGGCCTATTCTATTTTGATCTGCAGTTTAATAAAAGTTAAACAGGAAAAAGACATAGTAGCACTGCATGTGTTTCTGAATATTTATTTAAACGGACTGTTTAATGATGAAAAACCACAAACGTGACAGTTATAATTAAAATACGCAAATTCCTTCACTATTCCTACAGCGCATATAGTGCCCTATTTTTTTTTTTTACAGATTTTTAAATTTGTGTATACAGTATAATTGTTTAAGCCGAGATATAGTACTATAAATTCTTAATTCATTTGCAACAAAACCATAAAGCAGGGCTTGAAAACGAAGAAAAAAAAACAAACTCTGAGCAAAATCGATATTTTAACGTTTCCGTTCTGCCGTTCCTCTGTATTACCGTTCCGAAACGGGTTTGGGTAGAAGAAATACCGGTTAATAATGTTATTTTTTAGAAACAATTTTCTTAGTCAATAATAATAAAATACAGCGTTTTCTTTACTCAAAAAGAAAAAAGAAAAAAAAACAGGAAGAGATCTGGTAACGTTAGCCTATAACCCGCTGCGCTTAGTCACAGCCAATACAGCATCATCTTTTCTAGATTTTGGCCAAATGTAGGCTACTAAACAAAAGAAAAAAATCTATCAACACTTTAAAGATAAAGTATTTTTAAGATTGTTAAACGCTACTTGTACAAGATTGCATTTTGAGAGTGAAAAAAAAACAAGTCGCGTATAGGCACACGTCGCATTTTATTAGCCATATTACATTCAGAAATAATGTAGGTTAAAATGCCGGTAGGCTAAACCAAAATGTTTACAAACATTATAAACACAGTTTTTAGTTTCTCTCCACAACAAATCCTCTAAAGTTAAGGCTATGTGTTTAGGCTATAAAAACGTCAATCCAAAAACAAATTAATTTAAGGTGAAACTAATGCCTACCTCTCTCATTCGGCACGAATCCAAATGTTTCCATATTTGCAACGTATCTGGATGCTAAAATATTATTTATTATAGGCTAGGCTTTGTACTTTCATCGACATAAAACATCATCCTTTACATTGGCTATAACAGCGCAGTGAGGCGCTGTTCACGCTGAACACAACCAATTTTGTACAACGGAGCAGTGTAACTTTATTTGTGTCTATAACTGCATTTTATTTTGATAATGAACAAGCTGAAATGTCGCAAAAATATGTTGTGTGCGCGTGAGGTGCCGGCGCGATGGTCATACCAACGCTGGTTGGTTATACAGATAGAAGCAAGACATTATTCAAAACTGTCAAGCTTTTGCAAAATAAAGAAAACTACTTTATGCTGTCTCATTTTCCTTTCTGAGAACTTTGGAATGCGTCACAATGAACAGTAACTCGGCACATTTTTTTTCTTTCGTTTTGTTAATCTGTCAATGATTTAAGTGTAACATTTTGTGTATATGCCTTTATTCCTTTTTATGTAAGCCTATAGTTTGATTCTGTTTACTCCGTTCACAGAAGCACTGCAGTTGCGTGTGATCTGTTGAATCCTCCTTGCACTATCCTCGGATAAACTCTTAACGCCAGTCCATTGCGACTTAACCATGATGAGTTCACAGCTATAAAATTTGGTTTTGTTTCTGGTTCTGTTCCGGTCAATTTCATTCGTTTCCAGTTTTCGTTCCTTGAACCGGTTCAGAGCCCTGCTATAAAGTTTTGTTGCAAACGGATTAAGACATTAGGCTTCTAGGCTCAGCTCGCTCCTCAACATGTGCGTTCGGAGTTTCGGCAGCCCAACACTGAATATTATATTGTGGGCGTTATTTTGATTTAATAAAATGAAAATCATAAAAATTAAAATACAAAAATGAAATTTAATTTACCCCTGCTTCTAAATAAATAAAGCAGTTATTTAGTTAAAAAACGGGCCAAAAGAGACCTCTGAACTAGAAACCTTAACGTTTTTGCTCGGAATTCGTTTTTAATCCCTGCATGATTTTAGTCATACATGATCAATATCAAATAGCCTACTTTATAGCTTGACTACAAATTTCAAAACAACGCTACAATTATCAACGAAATTAAACTTACCATCATGAAATGTGTCTGCACAGGCGATAATGCCAAAAATAAAGTGAAAAATCGGAAAATAGGCATATTTTATTCAAGACATTACTATATGACATCAACATGCATTCATCATTCTTACAATCACCGCCAGAATGTCCAACTTCACCATGATGAACTTAAAATTGAAGAATGAAGAAAAACAGTTCTCCTCACAAAACGAAATTAATTTCAAACACAAATTTGATATGAACAGAGTGGAAATTATTAGCAACACAAACTAACAGAAAACATTAGCTTTGCTGTTATGTTGAAGCACAAACTAAGAAAAGTAAAGCCAAACTTTAATGGTGGCAATAATTAAGACCAAACTGAACATGGTGTGTGTTTACGGTGCATGTCGGCAATGTTGTCTCGGCGGGGGCAGGGCGTGGTGGGGGTTGGGTAGACGATATTATCAGATATCGCAATATTTTATAAGGCAATATATTTTTGACATATCGCCAAGCTCTAATCTAGAATCTAGTCATGTTACGCCCCTGGACCGGTTTTCTGTTTCTGTCAAGGCCGTCTGGTCACTTTTCTTTGACTTGCAGTCAGGCTTCTTACTGGCCCCTTTCGCTTGTTTGGTTTGAAGTGTGCTTTTGGATTTTGCATGTTTGGTTTTCAATTCTTGGCCTCCGAACCGGCAGAGTACCAGTTTAGCATCGTTTGAGTTGGCAAGTCACACCACTAGCTTAGCTGTTTCATTCTAAAGCATTGTCTTATTCTTTTACACCTGTAGAGCAGGTGTGGTGGTTTGACCAGTAATGGACGTGAGCATGATGGTTGCCTTCGCTCTCTCTCTGTCTCGCGCACGCACTCAAGCACATCTTTGTTCACACCATGCACCCCCGTCTTTCTGCCTGTGTTGAGTTGCTTGTAATTCTCCCTGTTGTTTCTCCCAAAAGCCAGATTGATAAGAGCCCCAGATATGATTTGTCAGGAGATGAGAGGTGAGTTAAATACATTTATGAGCGTGTTGGTTTTGTTTGTGTAGGATCAAAAGGGTTTATAGCGATTAGTTATTGAAGAATGCATCAGAGTTTGAGCTTCATATGTGTTTAGTTTCCACCGGTTTGTTTTCCGGGTTTGAGAGTGATTGGAAAGCACATTTGCGTCTTTGGTATAATTGCAATTAGCACGACATAGGAGTGTTTTTTTTTTTTTTTTTTTTTTTTTTTTTTTTTTTTTTTTTTTGTGGCTTAGTGGAACTGTTGGAGTGATTTTTGCACATTGTTACTGATGGTCGCTGACATTATTTCTTGCCTCCCTCATTCACTCAGTGTTTGCTCAAACTAAATTTTCATTTGTTTTTAGTACGTTTAACCCAGCGGACTACACTGAGCCAGCCCAAACAGAAGAGAGCTACACAAGCGGCAGCACTTGGAGTAACACAGGCAACCTGGAACCCGAGGATGGAAACAGTGAGTGATGCCATAGATGTCTCTTGTAAACCCTTCCTTCAGTTCCCGTCAGTGTTGGCCTTTCTTCTGGCTGAAGTACACAATCCATTTAAAATGCATATGTAAGGGTGGATGTTCTGACATGAATCTGTTTCCACAGGGCTTGAGTTTACAGGTGGAGAGGGAACAAACTATCCTCGAAAGTTTGACTCGGCCCCTGGTGAGTCTTGCATTGGCTGTTTTGCTAAGGATTTGTTCACCTGCTGTCATTGTGAGCTAAATATCTGTATAACAGGTGCTTGGAGAACTGCCACAGAAGAGTGGGGCATGGAGGACTGGAATGAGGATGTGAGTATTTGAACAGATACTAAAAACCTGCTTTTCAGTTTAAGACTGAGCAAATCTAACTCTGGTTCTCGGTTTAGTTGTCAGAGACCAAGATATTTACTGCCTCCAGTGTGGCGTCCATGCCCATTCCACAGGAGAATGTCACAATTACAGCTGGACAGAGGTAAGCCAGTGTCTATTTCAGAGCATCTGAGAAATTCGCTTTCCATATAAAATTATTTTGGCCTGTCATACCATTCAGAAGTTTGGGGTTGGTTTTTTATTATGGTAATGAAGGCTGCATTTTTGAACAAAAATACAGTAAAAACATTTTAATTAAAGGGGTCATATGATGTGATTTCAATTTTTCCTTTCTCTTTGGAGTGTTACAAGCTCTTGGTGCATAAAGAAGATCTGTAAAGTTGCAAAGACTAAAGTCTCAAATCCAAAGAGTAATAGTCAGCCACCCCTACCTAAAACGGCTCGTTCTAACACGCCCCCACATATCTACGTCATGATGTGGGAAGATTTGCATAACGCCGCCCAAATGTTCACGCAAAGAAAGGAGGCGTAACTTTTATTCTCGCTGTAGTATTGTTGTTGCATGAGCATTAAATGTGTGTGACTACCTGCATGGACAGGTTTGGAATACTCTGGATCATCTAAATTGTCTAAAGGACCAACAGTTATGAGAAATTGTTTTGTTGTGAAAGAAAGTTCTGTATGTTCATTGCAGTTCATTGATTTTGATTTATTAAACCCTAACTTAAATAATGTTCTTTTTAGCAACATCATATGACCCTTTTAAATAAATTAATAAAACAAATGTTTAAATGTATTTAATATTTAAATATAATTTGTAATGTAATTTATTCATGATGTGGCAAAGCTGAATTTTGAGAAGCCATTGCTCCAGTCCTCAGTGTCACATGGTCTTTCCGAAGTCTTTCTAATATGCTGATTTGCTCAAGAAACATTTCTGTTTTGTTGAACGGTTATGCTGCTTAATATTATTGTGGAAACTGTGACACTTTATTTATTCTTTATTATTTTGTAACAAAATGCATCCTAGTGGAATAAGTATTTAAAAAAAAAAAAAAAGTCCTACTAACCCCAAATATTTGAATGGTCACTACTATCGAAAGTCTACATTTTGAACGCAGGCTATTCTTTTATTTAGAAGGAATGCAATTTCAATAATACTGTGGTGTCTAGATTTTCACAACCCAATTCTAAATATTTATACATGTGCTGCTGTCGTGGCATATGAGAACGTTATGGACATAAGCTTGTTTGATGTTCAGGATTGATCTGGCGGTGTTGCTGGGGAAGACACCTCCCTCCTCTTCCTCAGAGGCAGAGCCTGCTTTGCTTGAAGGCCCACAGCCACCATCTCTGTCTCAGTCTCTTGTGTTCAGCAACTCAAAGCAGACAGCATCACTGTCCCAGTCCTCCTCCAGTGCTCCTTACAGCCAGCACAGCATGGTGAGCAAGATGTTAAATGAAGTCTTACAGGTCTTGTCATAGCTGTTTTTAAGGGCCAATTGTATTATTTGTTTGGTTTTTTTGGGGGGGGGTCTGTATTGGCCAGTTGGCATTCAGAACTGGAATTTGTTATCGTACCTAAACTAATTGGTGGCAGCCAAAACATTAGCTTTTTTTCTCTCTGTTCTTACCTCAGGTGAGCATGCTCAGTAAGGGTTTCGGTGATGTTGGCGATCCAAAAGGAACCACTGGAGGCTCCACGACTGGTTCTCAATTTCTGGAGCAGTTTAAGACGGCCCAGGCTTTGGCACATCTAGTGGCCCAGCACTCACAAAGCGGCACACCCAATGCTGGTCCTTCTACCTGGGATACCAGCCCCACTACACTGGGACAATATGGTAAGGGGACTGACGTGGTTTGAATAACTTCTATGATTGTTCAGACCTCTCTGTAGTACGTGTAGTCTTATTCTTTCTCTTTGTCTGCAGATATGAAACCTCAAACGGAGCCTGTGCACAGTCCCTTCACCAAACGGCAGCCATACCAGCCCACCTCCACTTCCTCCTCAATGGATGCCTTCTTGCAGGACAAAGCCACACCTGCTTCTACCACCTCAGCCTTGCTCCCTCAGTCCACTCCATCATCATCATCATCATCATCATCACTGCCCCAGGCCATCACCACCCCTGTCCCCAAACCCTCAGGACCCACCCCAGGTCAGCAGAACTCTTCCAGCCCAGCTGATCCTCAGGCATCCAGCCCACTCCCCCTGCAGCAGCACAAACTAAAACAGCAGAAGAAGAGGGCTTCCATCACAACCAAGGTCATGATTCTCCAAGTTTGTTGTGGTCTATGTTGCTATTTTAGGGAATAATGGATTGATCAACTTTGCCTTATAGAGCTGATCATCTATTTAATCAAATGTTGTGGTGATTTGCAGATTCCAGCCCTAGCAGTGGAGATGCCAGGCTCTGCGGATATATCTGGGCTCAACCTGCAGTTTGGAGCATTACAGTTTGGCTCTGAACCGGTGCTTTCAGAGTACGATTCCTCGGCATCTGTTGCCACGACGACACCAGGCAACCAAGGCCAGAACACAAGGCACCTTTACACAAGTGCTAGCAAGTGGGTATCTCATGTCTGCGTAAGACTGTCAGACTAAAGCTTTTCATAGTTTCAAGCATAGTAACTAGGTTGTACGATTTTGGGAATATTTTTTTTTTCTTTTAAAAGCACCATGTTTGCTGTTCTCTTTCTGTTATTTGGCCAAAATATTTGTGACTATATCAATGTAATAAAAATAATAGAAATACAATCTAAATGTAAAAAAGGCATAAATTATTAAACTGTTACTATTGTAATATTTCACTAAAAGTTTAAATACTTTTAAATACTACTGTTTCTCTTCATTTTTAAAATGTTAAACCATCATGCCTTTTTTTTGGTGGAAAACCACAGGGAGCCCTTAAAACAGGGATCCTGAAATCTGGCCCACGACATCCACTTTCCTGCAGAGTTTAGCTCTAACCCTAATCAAACACACCTGAGCATGCTAATCAATGTCTTCAGGATCATTAGAAAATCACAGGTAGGTGAGTTTGATCAGGGTTGTATCCAAACTCTGCAGCGCATTGGCCCTCCAGGGCAAGATTTGAGGAACCCTGCATATGTCCAACTCGTTTTTTGAAACTTTGGCCATGTTTAGCCATGAGAATCCAACTCTTTTAAACAGTGTAAATAGCCTAAGTCAGAATGCATGGATTAGCATTAGACACCCCCTTTAAAGGAACACTCCGCTATTTTTGAAAATAGGCTCATTTTCCAACTCCCGTAGAGTTAATCAGTTGAGTTTTACTGTTTTCTAATCCGTTCAGCCGATCTCCTGGTCTGGCGGTAGCTTTTAGATGCAGCTTAGCATAGATCATTGAATCTGATTAGACCGTTAGCATCTTGCTCAAAAATGACCAAAGAGTTTCTATATTTTTCCTATTTAAAACTTGACTCTTCTGTAGTTACATCGTGTACTAAGACCGATGGAAAATTAAAAGTTGCGATTTTCTAGGCCGATATGGCTAAGAACTATACTCTCATTCCGGCGTAATAATCAAGAAACTTTGCTGCCGTACCATGGGTGCAGCAGGCGCAATGATATTACGCAGCGCCTGAAAATAGGCTAACTTCCGCCAACATAACCAATGTGACCACCTGCTTCCAACTTCTGTTGGAAGTTACCTAGCTGGGCACTATTTTCAGGCACTGCGTAATATCATTGCGCCTGCTTTGCGGTATTAGTACACGATGTAACTACAGAAGAGTCAAGTTTTAAATAGGAAAAATATCGAAACTCTTTGGTCATTTGAGCGAGATGCTAATGGTCTAATCAGATTCGATGATCTATGCTAAGCTGCAGCTAAAAGTGCTACCGCCGGACCAGGAGATCGGCTGAATGGATTAGAAAA